TTTCCTACCATCCCCTAAAAATACCCCCAAACCAACCCACAATGCAGCAAACCCAAACCATGCTGTGGCTGACTCGCAAAAACCCCTCCTATGGGAATGGTGGGGACGGGTTGCTGCAGATCTGAATGAACAGCTGTAGGGGGCACCAAGTCACTTGGATTCCATCATTATCTCAGCTGTCTCTTCTACTTTCAGGGAGTAGAACCAGCCCAGCTAGACGTGTGGGGCCAAATCCATCCTTGATGTAACTACAGTGAAGTTAGCAGTTACCTCAGGGATGAATTTGATCTATATTGTGCCAGAGGTTCCCTGGTGTGTGTTTGTGTGACTTGTTTTGTTTGCAATAAGCAGCTGTCAGGAGCCTCTTTGGACGTTTAGATAATGTGGAGATGGCTGCTGGTGAGGGTACAGGAGAGATGAGTTTAATTACAGCTCCAGCTCTGTGAGGAATTGCATAGGCCAGAATTTTCAGAGGGATGAGGCAGGAGAGCAACAGGGCCGGTGGATGCTCAGGGTTGGCTGAGCTGGTTTCTGCAGGGTTTCATCAGGGTAGAGCTCAGTGTGGGCTGACTGGTGGCTTTGGAAATACGTGATGACCCCACCCAGTGCAGGCTGATGGGATTTAACACACGGTGGCTGGTGTGGGTTGTAAGAGGATGCACCGCACCCTTCAGACAACATAGGAGAGCTCGGCAGAGTCTCGGGTGTTTTACTAGTACGGAAGCACAGACAGGAAATCATCTGGACGGACAGCAGAGAATTAAGTGGGAAGGTTACAAACCCTGACTAGCTTTCTTACCATAGTTCAACTGTTACTCTGAAATAACAGGTTCTCTCTCAGAGTGTGTGAGACTCAGTTTTTGTTTGAAAAAGAGATGGTGTGTAGTGGATCAGCCACTGTGTACACCCCCTCCTTGATAACCTTCTGCCATCCAGGAGGCTGTAACAGAAGCTCATTTTAAATCTCAGCCTTTGGGAAGTATTGACATCATATTGTTCATGAGCTGAG